GTAACTTGTAGTTACTAGAAAGGGTTCAGACTGAAAATGTAAAATGTCCAATATAATTTGAAAACAACTTTAAATTAATTTCTTTATTCCTATGTGAGTTGTGCCAATACTTTAAAAAAAAAATGGTTTCCTGCAATATATTTAAAATTAAAATGTGCAATAACTCAAGACCTATTAGATATTGAATTTGAAGGAGTTTAATTTAAGCTTCTGGATTTTGGGGCACAATTTTTTTTAATTTTAATAGTTCTAGGGAAATAGGATAAATTCAATTTTAGATAACATTCACTTGAAATGGTTTATATGCCACTTGTGAAATTTCCTAACAAAAAACATTTGTAGCCGTGAGGTGGTGCACACCTGTAATCCCAGCAACTTGGGAGGCTGAGGCAGGATGATCACAAGTTTGAGACCAGCCTCAACAACTTAGTGAAGCCCTAAGCAATTTGGTGAGGTCCTGCCTGAAAATAAAAAATAAAATGGGCTGGGGATGTGGCTCAGTGAAAGTGCCCCAGGTTGATTGGTTTGTATTTATTAAAACTTAGAATTTAAATTTATTAAAAGTTAGAATTTTTAAAAGGCAATGTTAAAATTTGCCTAGGATAAGTTTACTGGACAGAGGAGGAAAGATTTGGAACATTAAATTATTTTATTAATTTAAAAGTTGCTGGTAGATTTGGCTTTCGGTATCATTTTTCATATAAACTCCAGCGAGAGAGAAAAATGTACTTGCATAAGATTTTATATATTGTACCCTATAAGTGTTTATGAAAACAAAAATGTTAACTTAGCTAAAGCGGCTAATAATTTGAATCTTGGAAATTATATTTCAGTTTGAAATTTTTCAATGAGTAGTTACTGTAATGAAAATCGAGAGTTTACTTTTTCTTCCAAAACATACACAGAAGCAGAAGACTTTGTGAGTATAAGCTCTGATTCCTGTGATTACAGATTAATTAAAGATGTTAAGTCATGATCTAAAAGCCATTAAGATAACTGGAAAATAGTGGTAGTATTGGTAGTAGAACTGTTTCTCCTGGTAGGAAAGGATGTAACTCAGCCTTTCTCTCAGGTTCAGTATTTAGGTGATGAAAACAGGTACTTACTTTTGGATATATTGAGAAAGAACTTTCTTTAGAAGAATAGAATGGATTTTTTGTTTACATGTGTTAAAACAGGCAGGAAATTATTATGTTTCATCTCTTCAGTTGCTTAGAAATGATATTGGCATATGTCAGTTTAGTTGCTTCATGTTAATGTATAAACCCTTCATAACTATAGTTTCTACCTTGTTGCTACAAAGTCTATAACTTGAAGCATTTTATTGCCTTTGAGTGTGTGTATGGTACTGAGGATTGAACCCAGGGCCTAGTGCATGCTAGGCAGGTACTCTACCATTGAGCTACATCCCCGGCCTTTTTTATTCTATTTTGAGATAAGGTTTCATCAAGTCACTCGAGCTGGTCTCAAACTGTGAACTTCTTGATTCAGCCTCCCAAATTGCAGGAATTACAGGTGTGCATCACTGCACCTAGCTTCCTACTTTATTTTATTTTATTTATTTTTTAAAGAGAGAGTGAGAGAGAGAGAGAGAGAGAAAATTTTTTAATATTTATTTTTTAGTTATCGGCGGACACAACATCTTTGTTTGTATGTGGTGCTGAGGATCGAACCCGGGCCGCACGCATGCCAGGCAAGCGAGCTACCGCTTGAGCCACATCCCCAGCCCCTACTTTATTTTAAACACTGTTTAAAAAGAATTTTGTTTGCTGGGTGTGGTGGTGTACACCTTTAATCCCAGCAGCTCAGGAGGCTGAGGCAGAAAGATAAATTTTGCTAGCTTCAGCAACTTAGTGGTACTCTCAGTAACTTAGCGAGATCCTGTCTCAAATTAAAAAATAAGAACTGGGTATGTAGCTTAATGGTAAAGTGTCCCTGGGTTCAATCCCCAGTACTCCCCCCCACCCCGCCCCACTCCATAAAAAGGCAGATAGAGGGAGCAAAATGTATTTGTTTATATACAAATAACTTGTCCCTGGAAAGAGATATGGAGTAATAATGGACTGCTGGTGGCTGGGAGACAGGAGCAGCATGAATCACTACTAGCACTCTAGGATTTGTCTTTTGAGTGATGTGGTTATATTATCTATTTGAAAATTTAAAATCAGCTATATAGTGATTCTTTCCTAATATATCTAAATTAAATGATTAAACCCATCATAATCTTTTTTTTTTTCCTTCCATTAAAATATGTTTGCATTCTTTTATCACAGAAAAGATCGTGACCCTGAGAAAGACCTTTTTTGGGGGGAGGGTACCAGGGATTGAACTTAGGGGCACTTGACCACTGAGCCACATCCCACCCCTATTTTGTAGTTTATTTAGAGACAGAGTCTCACTTTGTTGCTTAGTGCCTTGCAATTGCTGAGGCTGGCTTTGAACTCACAATTTTCCTTTCTTAGCCTCTGAAGCTGCTGGGATATTATTATAGGCATGTGCCACCAAGCCTGATTGAGAAAGACCATTTTTTAAGGAGAACTGGAGGTAATTAATTTGAAAGATAAATATTCAGCTGGAGAATTCAGCTGGACAACCACCTCTCTGCCTAGCTAGCCTTTTGTTTATTCACCTCCTAGCCAACACTGCTTCTGTGTACTTTCTACACAAGACTAAAAATAAATCCAACTGTTTTACCAACTTGAGGCAACTCTCTTAAAAAAAAAAAAAGTTTTTATTTTATTTTATTTTTATTTGTTTGGTACAGGGGTGCTTTACCCCAGCTACATTCCCAGTCCTTTTTTCTTTTTTCTTGTGAGATAGGGTAAGTTGCTGAGGCTGGCCTTGAACTAAAGAACCTTCTACCTTAGCCTCCTGAGTTGATGGGAATACAAGTGTTCCCTAGCACACCTGGCAAAACATTATTTTTCTAATACAAAAACAATATATTTTATTGAAAAGATTGAGATTGTTAGACACTAGAATGTAAAGCAGAAAATTGAAAATTACAACCTCATTACTGAGAATCACATTTTTGGTTTTATTTCCTTCTCATGTATATATATTAAAGATTTATGTACATATATATTTAAATGTATTTATTATAGTATTATGAATAGTTTTCTAACCTGACTAGCTCTTATTTGTCTTTTAGGTTTCAACACAAATATTGCTTTCTAAAGAAAGCCTTCCCAAGTAGGGTCTCCTATTACTTATTCTCATGATAACTTATGCTTTTCCTGTAACACTCATCACATTATAAAAATAATTGTCTAAATTTAAGTTTAGTATGTGTTTTTCTTGGCTGGGTAGCTTCATAAAGATAAGTTCTTATTTGTCTTGATTACCACTGTATCACCAAGGTCTGTCACATATAGCACAGTGAGTAGTTAAAGAATGTAGGTTCTAGAATAAGAAAATCAAACTCTGCTGCTCTGCTGGCATGGAGCAGAAACAGTCTTTTATTTCTAACCTTGTACTTTTGAGAATAGAAGTAATAGAATAACTCCAGGGCTTACGTAACTTCCTTAGACTTTAAAATACAAGGTACATTGGTATGAGGTACCTATAAGGGGAGTGATATAGAACTATTTGCCATGCTATGACTGAGAACAGCTTGGGTCTTTTTCATAGTTTGAGGCTTAAGCAGTTTATTATGGTATTTGTTTAACTGCTTCACATTTTAAAGTACCCATATATACTATGTATCTCTATAGTTTGTATTATCCCCCTCACACACACACAGTCATGTGTCACCTAACTATAGAGACAAGAAAGACATCACTAGGTGATATCTTCATTGTGCAAACATCATAGAGCATATTGACACAAACCTGGATATCATACCTTAATCATTCCTTGTGGCCTCTTGATGCAATCAAGAGCTGTGGTAAATGCAAGCTGTGTAAATTTGCTGCCAGAGTTACACAGTATGGTGTTTTTATAGTAAACTTTTTTTTTTTTTTTAATGAGTAGGAGCATACTTTTAAACAGTGTAGTAAAAATATAGTAAGTACATAAACAAGTAATAGTAATAGGCAACTATAGTTGTTTGTTTCATTATCAAGTATTATGTACTTACTATATAGGACTGGAAATACAGTAGGTTTGTTTACACCAGCATTATCACAAACACATCAGTAATAGTATGTGCTTTGATGTTATGGCAGCTGTGATGTCACTAGGCAAGAAGAATTTCCAGCTTTATTTAATTATTGTTATTATTTGTTTTTGAGATGTGGTGTTACTTATGTTGTCCAGGCTGGCCTCTGACTCCTGGGCTTGAATGATCCTCCTGCCTCAGCCTTCTGAGTAGCTGGGATTACAGGCATGTGCTGTGCAACAGGCTCTCCCTATAATTTTATGGGACCACAAGTTTTATGGTGGTTTTTTTTTTTTTTTCAATATTTTTATTCTAATTTGTAAGTTTTATGTTTTGACAAATATATTTTCTTACTATATTTGGTCAGTTTTAAAGATTTAGGATTTAAGAAGAATATTTGAGATATGATATAAAGAATTAGAAGTATTTATACATTGTTTATTATTTTTATTTTTTTAGTTATAGATGGACACAATATTTTATTTTTATTTATTTATTTTCATGTGGTGCTGACGATCGAACCCAGGGCCTCACACATGCGAGGCAAGCACTTTACCACTGAGCTACAACCCCAGCCCTACACATTATTTTTGTATGTGCAAAAGTTAAACATATAGAGGTCTGTCAAAGAAGATGTGATTATTTTGTAAAATTTTTGTAATATTTTAAACATCAACTCAGCAAGCAGATTAGAGTTAAGAATTCAAAGAAAAATAGAAGTACTCTTGCTGCTATTGAGGCCCTTGGCATTCTGGTAGGAAGTAAGGTAGATAAATTATTGGCTCTCCATCTGTATATACATACAAATCACCTAAGAGATTGTTAAAATATAGAATCCTTGACTCAAATTTTTTTTCCCTACATTCAAAGAGAAAAGTTGTTAGGAACTTACATTTTCATAAGCAACTCAAGTGATTCTGATGACTGGTCCATGGACCATACTTTGATGAGAAACCCTAGTGAAAACAAATTAGATGATAATGATGAAAAGTTAAAGCAGGTCTGTGTGGGTACAAGGAGGAGATGACTAATTGCCTGGAGAGGGTTGAATTTTCGAGAATTAGGAAGATAAGGTGGGATGAAACAGTTTTCTTTTTCTTTTCTTTCTTTTTTTTGATACAGTTTAGCTTCCATTTAAACCTACTACCCTTATTTATGTTACATTGCTTTTAAATAAGATAATTTATAAAATTTACCTTTGATGCTTCTAAACTTTCAGGCCACCAAGGCGGGTGCAGCATCTATGATTCACTACATGGTTCTGATATCAGCTCGCTTGGTGCTTCTCACTTTGTGTGGATGGGTACTTTGTTGGACCCTAGTCAATCTCTTTCGAAGCCATTCAGTACTTAATCTCCTCTTCCTTGGCTATCCGTGAGTACTCCTGTTTTGCAATTAACAAATCTTTAGTAGTTATTTGGGTCATGCAAATAATACTATTAAAAAAGGGAGAATTAAATTCTTCAAATATAAATTAAAAGTTAAAAAAATTTGAAAACCAGTGGATATGATAGCCATATAATTTGTTTTCTAAACTAGGTTAGTTGAGACAACAGACATAAACTAGAACTATCCTGGGGAAACTGAGAAGTATGGCTGTCCTACCAGTGGAGAGGTTGCGATACTGGGGATTGAAACCAATAGTGCTTTACCACCAAGATACATATCTGGCCCTTTTTTAATTTTAAATTTACAGGGGCTGGGGTTATGGCTCAGTGTTAGAGCGCTCACCTAGCACGTGTGCGGCCCTGGGTTCGATCCTCAGCACCACATAAAAATAAACAAAATAAAGGTATTGTGTACAACTAAGAAATAAATATTTTAAAAAAATTAAAATTTACAGTGCCTCACTAAGTTGCCTAGGCTGACCTTGAATTTGTGATCCTCTTAGACTCCTGAGTCCTTGAGATTACAGGTGTGCTATAGGTGTGTACATTTGTGTCATCTAGTGGAAAGTATTTATTTATTTTATAGTACTGGGGATGGACTCAGGGCCTCATGCATGCTTGCCAAGCACTCTGCAGAGTTACATACCATGTCCTTTTGAAATTTTGAGACAAGGTCTTGCTAAATTGCCCACGTTGGCCTTGAATTTGGGATTGGACTGCCTCATCCTCCTGAGTAGTAGGATTATAGGTGGACACTACCACACCCAGTGAGAATATTTTAATTGAGCTCTATTTACCAAGTAAGATGTTAAGTTTAATAGGATTACCATCATCAAAATGGCTAGCAGTCTTTTTCAATTTAAGTATATAAAGAAATAAATAATAATAATAATTATTATTATTATTATTATTTGGTACTGGGGATTGAACCCAGGGATACTTAACCACTGAACCACATCCCTAGACCTTTTTATTTTTTACTTTGAGATAGGGTGTCATTAAGTTGCTGAGACTGCTTTGAACTTGGAATCCTCCTACCTCAGCCTCCCAAGTTTCTGGGATTACAGGCATGCCTCACTGTGCCCAGCATTTATAGTTTAAATTGTAATGAGGGTCCAGGCACAGTGGTGCACACTTGTATTCTCATTGACTTGGAAGGCTGAGGCAGAAGGATCACAAGTGAGTTCTGGGCCAGCATACATACCTTAGCAAGATCCTATCTCAAAAAATAGAGCTGGCGATGTTGCTCCGTGGTAAAACACCCCTGAGTAAAATTCTTAATACCAAAATAATAATAATAATAATAATAATAATAATAATAATAATAATAATAATAATAGAAGATAGAACAAGAAAAAATAACCACCCCAGAATAAAAAACCTAATAAACATGTATGGAGTGGTAAAATCTGTGGAGAAAAATAACTACAAAAGGAGAGTGCTTTTGGGAGTGGGGTGAGTGATACAAAGTTTGCAAGCAGGAGAGCCCCTTACTATGGAGACATTTAAGTTGAAGGGCAAGCCATATCAAAAATTTCTAAACATACACAAAGATCCGCATTAGGAGAATACTTGTCATGTTATTTATGCTAGTGGAAAATAAGAAACAACTTTTTTTTTCTGGGCTGAGATGTAGCTTAGTGATATAATACTTATCTAGCATGTGCAAGGCCTTGGGTTTGATCCCCATAAAAAATGTCATGTGAAACCCACAGAAACAGCATGTTTCTATCAAGTGAGAAATGGATAAATTATGTATGTCAATATATGAATCCTATAATGTTTTTAAAAGTTCTTACAGAAAAATATTTAGACATAAGAAAATACCCATTGTATACACACAAGGTGAAATAGCAAGATGCAAAACAGTTTGTACTATATGAGATCAAATACATAAAAGAAAAAAGCATACATGACTATATATAAAGTTTATATGTTGGACAAATGTGTACCCACTAATAAAAATGATTATTTCTAGGTAGTTTATATTTTGTTATTGAAATTTTTTTAGTTTCCTCTTCTGCAATGAATATGTACTGCTTTTGTTGTAAGAAATGAAAGACTTTCCTTCTCAGACAAGGAATTTACCCTTGGAAAGTTCCTATTATGTTTACTCCTGTGCATCAAGACTATTATATTGACATAATTATACAGTGTTCTTAGGTGTTTTCTGTGGTATTATTTTCATATTTACCTTGTCTTGCAGGTTTGGTGTTTATGTTCCTCTCTGTTGTTTCCACCAAGATAGTAGAGCTCATCTTCTTCTCACAGACTATAACTATGTGGTACAGCATCAGGCGGTAGAGGAAAGCGCCTCAACTGTGGGTGGCTTGGCCAAATCCAAAGACTTCCTCTCCTTATTGCTGGAGTCTTTAAAAGAACAGTTTAATAATGCCACACCCATCCCCACCCACAGCTGCCCTCTATCTCCAGACCTCATTCGAAATGAGGTAGAATGTCTGAAAGCCGATTTCAACCACAGAATCAAAGAAGTTCTCTTCAACTCCCTCTTCAGTGCCTACTATGTTGCATTTCTCCCTCTGTGTTTTGTGAAGGTAAGCAGATATTTTGCTTTATGTGCTCCCTGGATTGTGTGTGAATTAAATAAACTGGGTATTTCTTGTTTAATCCCCCTTTTCTCTGTCTCCCCTTTGGCAGCCTGGATGGTGGAGTTCGGCTGCATCTGGAGTGCACTAAAACCGCTCCTGGTTGGCGGATAGGTATTTCCATATATGTGATGCACCCCGTGGTGGTCCCCTCTTTCTTTTTTTCTTTTCTTTCCAATTTTTTTCTTATTTTCTTTCTTTCTTTTTTTTTTTTCTTTTTAGTTTCCGGGGAGAGTAAAAATTATAATTATTATAGGAAAAAATATGTAGCAGCTTAAGAGAACCAAGGATTCAATAAAATCCAGGTTACTGTGATTGATCTAACAGGGTTATGAGGAATTTCTTGAATTTAATCTAACCTTTATTTATCTAAACTTCAATTTACTTCAGTGGAAAAGAAAAATGGTCTGGATGTCACTTGGGACCAAAATCTTTTGGGACATTTTAATGTCCTTCCTTCACCCATTCAGAAGCACTTCTGCAGCCGGAGTGGTCCTTCAGAAGCACTCAGTCCTTAAAATATAATTGCCTCTCCCTCCCAGCCCTAATTCATACAGCCAGAAAGTCAGGTTGAAGGATTTTGGAGGACTCTGCTCTTGAACTTTCTGCACGGACATCAGGACAACCAGTGCATGTTGACTAAGTGTGGCATTTGTCTGCAGGGCATATATATACGTACCCATCCTGTGTCTGATGCTGGTGCATGGATCATTTCTGTCTCTTTTGATCTCTTTCAGAGTACCCAGTACTATGACATGCGCTGGTCATGTGAACACCTCATTATGGTGTGGATCAATGCTTTTGTCATGCTTACCACACAGTTGCTGCCATCAAAATACTGTGATTTGCTACATAAATCAGCTGCTCACCTCGGCAAATGGCAGAAGCTAGAACATGGGTCCTACAGCAATGCTCCACAGCACATGTGAGTAGCTAGAGGGTAAAACCATGTAACACGTTTCTACATGCTGCTGATCATGTTTATTTGCTTTGTATGTCATTCTGTTCTTGGCTTTGAACATTTTTTAGTTTTTGTCTACATGGATGCTTGTCATCATTGCTAAACTGAATACAGGATACATTAACTCATTTCTACCACCATACCCAGCCCCTTCTCAAATGCGTCCTACCTTTCAGCTGCCCAGTCACTCTAGAGTGTATAATTTGTGCCCCAAGCAGTACTTCAGAGTTGTCTTTCAGTCTTAACTGTTTGCCCAAATTCAAAGAGTCATGATATATTTTAAATTCTTTTTATACGATTTTTAAGGTTTATCTTCTCATTTTCATTGCCACAGCTAAGTTGATAGCTACTCATCTCACACCTAAGACAGCTGGACTTTGCTTTTCTCATCTTTTCTAATACATGCAGATTTGGATTAGTAATTTTTCCTGCCTGTAATTTTTTCTGTTTCTTTTTCTTTTTTTTCCTTCCTAATCTCTCTACTATTTCCCTGCCTCTCCTGTATTTCAGTGAAAACTGTCCCTGGCTGTGAGTTCTAAGTATTATTCTTATTGTGTTCCCTTATCAGACATTTCTCTGCATGGCCCCTGTGATCCAAAGTGGCTAACTTTAGAACTTTTTTTCTGTCACTTTTGAGTCCATCATCATGCCTATCTCTCAGACCCGGACCATCTGCATCTTCCTCCCTTGTGTAATTTGAACATTTCACAAATTTCATCCCCTACCAGTTTTTTCCTAATTAAGTGGGACAGATTGAGGTGACCTTCCCTTCCCCTCTCCCCCTCAGAGTTCTCCCTTCAATTATCTGCCTTGATGTCTGATACAGATTAGCACAGGCCTTCAAGCCCAGGAACTGAAAGAGATTGGGCCAGGCTGAAAAGAAACCCGACTGTGGGCAAAGGACAGATTTCAATAAAAATTGAAAATACAATCCACAGTACTAGTACTGTACATCTTCAGGCTACTGATGGCACATGGCCATGAGGTGTATCATCACTTTAATGCTGGTAAGTGTGAGCAAGGCTGGCGGAACATTTTCTGAACTGGGGAAGCTTCAGGGTGCTAGAATATATTTTTTAACATATCTAAACTGCTGCCCCAGTTCTTAATCTAGGAAACTAACCTTTCGAAAATCAGGAAGAAATGAATTAACTTAGGTTTTTTTTTTCTTTTTTTGTTTTTTTAAATAAAGCTTAACCTGAAGATCCCCATCCCCATCCCAACTCCATTACATTGATGCTGAAAAGATTGAAGCTTTCTCTTCCCTAACTTCTTTTCCCTAGAGAAACCTCTATAAAAATGAGTCCAGAAAGCAGTAAAAAGAAAACTCTGTGTCAGTACCTTGTGTGTGTCTTTGTTCTACTGTATAGCTTCTCACATCTTTGAGGTATTTGAATTATCTGATGAGCAAACTGATTTTCAATAAGTTTTAGGGATGTAATTCTGCAGTGAATATCACATTAGTTTGACAGTGTGTTAATTTCTTCTCTGTTCTTGTTGCCATTGGCTTTCTCCTCTTGTTTGTTCCCTCTATCATGTCAACCAGTAGACTGTTCACTTGGGATGGAGACAGAAGTCCGCCTGCTTACATTCTGTTTTCTGGCCCATGGATGCCTTACTGAAACAATTATATCTGCTCATTCTGCTAAGCCTCTTAAGTCCTTCAACACTGAGTTAACTGTATTACTTTACAGTCTCTCTGTACTACATAGCAATGAAGTTTACCATAACAGATCCTTTCTAACTCCTTCAAGTTGGACCATGGAATTACTATATTTTCAGAATTCAGACAGATGAAGCCTTGAATATTTAATTCCTTTCATAGAAATATAACTGGCCTTGCTAGACACAGTCTTATTTGTAATTGTCAATATGCTAACATTGCATTTCTTTCTTCTTTAGTTGGTCAGAAAATACAATATGGCCTCAAGGGGTGCTGGTGCGGCATAGCAGATGTTTATATAGAGCCATGGGGCCTTACAACGTGGCAGTGCCTTCAGATGTATCCCATGCCCGTTTTTATGCAAGTACCATTTATTTATTTTTAAGCATAAGTTTAGGAGTAAATGTTAGAAGGCCATTCTGTATGTATGCACATAGCACAGTGAGTAACACATACTAGGAAATTGAGGCATGATAATTTTTGCTGTTACTATAACAATGGTCCTGGGCCCATGGAAGTGTCTTCTGAAAAGCAGTTTGGAGGTCATATATCATTATTGCAGTCTCAATAGCTTGGGTGGTTTCTCTAGTTACATTGGAATTTATTAAATGTAATTTTGCTTCAAATAAGTTGTCCATTATATAAGACTTCCTTTTTCATCTTACAATTTTATTTTGTAATAGTTGGGTTTAGTGATGTTCTTAAGATATATTGTATCTGTGTGTATCTTTAAATAATATTTAACATAGTAATAATGTAGTTTTTATTAATTTTTTTATTTGTCAGATATTTGTGTGTGTTAGTTTTATTTTTTCTTCTCTTTAAAATACCTTAACTTACCCCTTTGGAAGTCAGACAAATGTTATGATCTATAGCCTTTTATCTTTACATGGATTCAAAAGAGAAAAGCTTCAAAGTTAGAAAAGGAAAAAGCAATCTATATCCACTGAACCCTGCTTCTTTCTCACTTGCACTTATGCATTGGATTATGTTTTATGTGGTCTTTAGTTTTCCAGAAATTCTGACTCTAGGAAGCAGCACTTACTTTTAAAGGAAAGACCAGCTGGTGGCCAGTGGGAGTAGGGAAAAGAAGAGACCTGCTCAGGACTATTCTTAGTAAAAATGTCCGTAGTGCAGTGCATTGCCTTTGAGTAGAGATCATATCCTAAAATAGAATTGGAGATTTAAAAAAAAAAAATTTATACTTTTCTCCCTCAGTTACTTGTGAGGATACATGGACTTTTTAGTTCTGCAGGTGTTTGTTACTAAGGGACCTTTCAATTACATACTGGGAACTTGCATGAGGGCAGGATATCTGTAAATATGTGATGGGGAAGGAGGGCAGGTTCTTAGTTGGGAGGAGCATGGGGAAGTTAAAGGCCCTTGGATGAGGAGACCACAGTGGCTCCTTCTGAACTTCCATGAGCTTGTCTTAAGATGGGAACAGACTCAGGTCACAACTACATAAGTATTTGATTTCTCCACAGGATACTTATTTAATTTAAATGGCTGAGTTCCCTAGGGCATTAATGGCTTCTGTTCATCCTTGTTGTCCTCTTGAAAACTGTAACAACAAAATATTTTTGTTAGAATTTTCTGCTTGAAAAATAAGTATTTTTCTTGCTAGTGTTGGACTCTGAAGAATCAAGTAGAATCTATGGAAGAAAGATTAGGCAAGTTAATTAATTGCTGATTTTGACCAAATAGTTAGTTCTTCTAAAAGCAGTTCTTGAGCCACCTGTATATAAATGATCTGGCCACTCTTGTTCCCATCTCCTTTTCCCCCCAATACTAGAGGTAAAATCCAGGGCCTCATGCATGCTAGGCAAACACTGTATCACCAAGCAAATCCGCAAACCCCCCTTTTTATTGTATTTCGTGAGAGGGTCTCACAAATTTATCCAGGCTGGCCTTAAACTTGTGATCCTCCTGCCTCAGCCTCCCAAGTAGCTGGGATCACAGGCTTGTACCACTGTGCTTGGCACCTGACTCACTCTTTTAAAGTAGTATTCAGGGCCTGTATCCCAGTCTTCTAAAGGATCTTAGGAATCTATAGCATTTTTATATTTGGAAATGGTTCTTAAGCAGA